ATATCTAGGCACAAATTTCCCTTTTAGCATACTACCAGATACACCATCACTGGGTGATTGACGCATAGCAACGACATGAACATTGTTGATGATGTCGAACATATCAAAGTCCATGAACTTGAGAGCTTCCATGGCCTTTGATTTCCAAGCAAAGAAGTTGTGTTTATCAAACACAAGGATCTTGTTTCAGACAGTTGATTTTGGATTGAAAAAGATCGACATGATTACTTGAGTGTATCAAAAATCTGTTCTGATACCAATTGAAGGTTTGTATCGATTGGATAAACTTCAAGTATAAAGAACAAAAGTAAACTAATCTAAGAAAACAAAGAACATAAAGTAAATAACACAAAGAGTTCTCTAAATTGTCTTTCACCAAGAAAGGTTTTTTCTTCACCAAGAAGACGGTTTGTCACAAAGACGGTCACCAAGACGAACTCAACATTATGGTGTACCCTAATGTTGATTATATATTAATCTATACAAGTATATCCCTTGTTTGAAGGGATTGCATCTAATCTGTACTAAGAACCGATCCTCATCACAAGGATATCGAATCAACTATATATTCTGTTCTTATCTATATGATTATCTAATATACATAAGATTACATAGATTAACGATACTAAGCGCTGATGATGATGGACTAGATACGTCGGTATTGGCGGTGATGTACACATTAATGCTGACAGATAGCATGTAGAGTGTTTGACTCAGCAGATCATAAGGTGTGACCTTACACAAAATATCATCCACATATAAACAAATTATAATTCCTTTACCAGAAGCATCAAATTTGCTATATACCACACTTTTCAGATTGGTTTTAATGTAAAACCATTATACAAGACAACATCATCAAACTTTTGATGCCATTGTTTTGGTTCTTGTTTCAAACCATATAATGATTTTTTCAACTTGAACACTTTTTGTTCATTTCATGGCATCACAAACCCTTCAAGTTGTTTCATATAAATTTCCTCATCTAAGTCACTATTTAAGAATGTAGTTTTCACATCCATTTGATGGATCACAAGATTATGTATAACTGCAAGAGCTAACATTAATCCAATAGTGTAATTTTTGGCAACAGGAGCATAAGTATCAAAGAAAGCAATCCATCCTATTTTCCTAAAGCCTTGGATAACTAATCTGGCTTTATACTTATCAATTGAGCCATCCACATTCATCTTCCTTTTTAGAATCCATTTACACTTTAATGCCTTGCAACTAGAAGGTAAATCAGACAAAGCCCAAGTATTGTTATGCATGATAGAATCAATATCATCCTGAATTTCCTCTTTCTAAAAATGAACATCCCTAGAAGCCATATCTTCAGTAAACGTCTTTTGATCCTCCTCAATATTAAAACAATATTGATGTTGAGACACAGTCTCATCCCTTGTTCCGTCAATTAAATATAATTGAAAATCATATCCAAACGATTTAGCTTTTCTAGATCTAGTACTCCTTCTAAGTTCTAGCATAGAACTTGTACTACCAAAAACATCTTCAGCTTGAGTTGTACTCTTGCTGGAAGATTGTTGAATCATGTCCATTGGTCTCGAAATATATGTAAATCTTTTTTCGTCAAAGATAGCATCTCTAGACTCTATTACAGTGTTCACAGACACAAAGTCATTAGATTCTAAAACACAGAATCTATAAGCTTTAGAATGCTCAGAATGTCCAATGAAGATACAATCTATACCTCTTTCACGAAATGTTTTCTATTTGGGTTCAATGAGCCTTACAACTGATCTACAACCCCAAACTTTGAGGTAACTCAAATTTGGTATGTTTTTACACCAAAGTTCATAAGGACTATTCTTACCCCATTTGTTTGGAGCTCTATTCAAAATATAACATGACGTCAACATCGCTTCGACCTAGAAACCTTCACTCGAACCTAAATAGGATAACATTATGTAGTGTATAAGGAGCTATGGTTGGATGTATTATTCCAGTTGATTCAAAATAAAATAGATCATAATACTCACCACCTCTATCAGTACATAAAACTTTTATTGATTCGTTTTATGAAGTTAAACCTCTTGTTTATAAATCATAAATTTATCCAGAGCTTCATCTTTTGAATATAGCAAATAGGCATAACAATATCTAGATGTATCATCAATAACAATATACTTTTTGTTTCCAAGGGAAGGTGTTGCATGAAAATCACATAAATCAATATGTATAAGTTTGTGAAAGCAAGGATTTACACAAACAATGTTCGGAAATTCAAACCTTGAATTATCTTTAGAGTAAATTACACGAATGGTTCCTATGGTTTGGGGTAATTTGCACGTTTGGTCCCTAACTTATTTTTTTTTAACTCGGAAGATCTCTATTTTTTGTTTTTGTTGTGTGATTGGTCCCTATCTTACCAAAAAAGACTATTTTTCCCTTGATTGTTTTAATTTATTTAAATAAACATACCATCATCCCACTTCCACCTCACGTTACCTTACCTTACCTACTTCACTGTATTTAAATAAATTAAAAAATCATGGGCAAAATAGTTTTTTAGGTAAGACAGGGACCAAGCACGCAATAAAAACAAACTATAGGGACCTTCTGAGTTAGAAAAATAGGTTAAGGACCAAACGTGCAAATTACCCCAAACCATAGGGACCATTCATGTAATTTACTCTTATCTTTAAGATCAATGTTTGCTTGTAATAAAGATCTAGTTGAGTCTGGTAAACCAATCTTGTCTCGGAATAGAGATGATCAAAAAAGTACTCAAAATATGGAAAAATAATAAGTAATAATTATGAGCACTTGTAAAGTAATTTAAGAACAAGAAGGATGTAAGAGAGATTGATTGACTGAATTGTTCTTGATTATAGTGAAAAACTATCGTCAACGGTAAAACCTGACTCAAAAATAGTTGTTTTAACCATCGGATAAAATAATGAACCAGTCGGTAAATCAATGAACTGCACTCGTTAGAATGCAATCTTGTTGCGATCCATAGTTTCGAACACAATTTCGTTGTGATCGTTCCGATATGGGTCATTCCAATGCGATCCTATGTGGTTCGTACCGATGCGATCCAACAAAGATCGTTCCGACGCAATCGTAAGAATCTTTCTGAAGTACATCGTTCCAACGAGTTGCGAACGATCGCAAATGAACAGTAACTTTTTATCTGATGCAATCCAACCCAATGCGATAGTTCCAAAGTACTGCATTACAACTAGTTGCGATCGACCACAATTGAACAATAACATACTATCGTTGCGATAATGCATTCGCATCCAGTATTCAGAAATCTCATTCACATTCACATCACTTCAAATTACGAATTCAATATTGGTTTGAGACCAACTAAACTCCGAAATCAGTTTCCGTCCAACACTTACTTATTCCGAAATTGTTTTTGTTCTGATTAATTTCAAACCAATTCCGAAATCAATTTAGTTCTTTACTTAAAATCTTGAATAAACTTAAGCAAGTGTGTACTCTACACCTTCTTTACTTGTTTAATATTCATTGTGATTGATTTTAATCAACAAATCAATTCATTACACTTAAATACACTTAGTGAAACAATTCACCAATACTTTATTACCGCATTAGTTTGGAAATTTACTAATAAAAAGGCATGAAATCAACAAACCAGGCATCAAAACAAAAATAATAATTGGTCTTGAATATTCATAGGAAGTAACAAAAATTTTAGACTTTGAAAGTAAAAAAGATGAAAATGCAAACCTTACCTACATGATGTGACATGTTTCTTAAACCTGTTTCCCTGGCTGTCAATATAGACGCTAAGATTTGGTAGGCATCCATGGTAGAAACTGCAAACCAAATGTATCAAATCGTTCAAAAATCGCAAAAAGAAATAAAAAGTATGTTCCTGACTGATGAACTTGCAATGGAAAACCAAAACAAGTGTCACAATTCTTTTTACAAAAAACACACGTGGCTTCGATCTACATTTGGCGGCTTGATCAATCCATTTTCTTAATGCGCCTCACAGACAGTTAACCCTGCTCCATCTGTTTTCGTTGTCATCTTTGTAGCATCTCAAAACATGCACAAACTCAATAAGTTTAAACCACACATATGATTGATTCTTGGATGTGTAAATAAGAATGTAGATGACTAATGGCCGAGAAAAGATACGCCGATAGAGGTAAAAGCAGCCATCAATTTTAAACATGGATAAATCCTTGATTTCTTGCCTTGGAATTCAAAGTTCATGGCTGATTTTTTGGGATATATACTTAAAATATAGGATGGTTATAGCATGCGGGAAAAAAAGGCTATAAGAAACCAAAATGAGCGAGTTTTAAAGGCTATAAGGGAATTTTTGGCATTTCACTTAAAAAAAGCTGGGGAGGGGATCAAATGAAGCCACCTTGCAAAACTGTACTCTTTTATTAGGTCATCCACAATGGGAGTTGTATGAGAGTTTACTAGATTAAATGTGAATATAATATAGAGGAGAGAGAGTGTAGAGTTCAATGGGCATTGAACGGTGCAATAGAATTGTATTGAAAACTTATGAGTTTTTTAATAATTAAATTGAATGTATATATTCTTTTTCTTACATGGCAATCCATACAACTCTTCATAGGTTTAATCCATTGGAGGTAGATTACATTTTACAAAAACATTGATAAAAACGTCTCCAAAATGTAAATGTATGATACTTGCCATAATTACATATACTTTATGATTATAAATATGAGATCGATAGAATGAGGTATTGAGGTAGATATACAACAAGTGGAAAAATGAATTAAAATTATTGGTTTAAGATTTACTAGCTGTGGAAATGTTTAGCATATGTTTCGGTTGAATGGAATAGTTCGAAATTTGTTACGCCATCAACGTGTCTCCCGTTCCTTTCATATTATTATAAGTTTCACTTTAATTGCCTCCATACTCGCACAATATGCGAAGTATATAAATCCGAACTCGTATGATTCATTACATTCCAACAAACTCATCAACAAACTCTCATGACCTCATATATCAACATGGGAAATCGGCGTATTATGATCTCGCTTGTTCTTGCTGTATCAATAGCAAATATTCTACATTATTCATGCGTGAACGCACACAGCGAACCAGAAGACTACGTACTCATGCATAGTTGTATACGAAAAGCATTTGGCTTGGAACCACTGTGTTGGGATCGTAAACTAGCAGAAGTTGCCCAAAATTGGGCCGATCAAAGGAAAGATTGTAAATTGATACACAATAACAGTCCGTATGGTGAAAATATGGGTATGGGGCCGGATCTTAATGCTTTATGGGCGACTCAGATGTGGATTGACGAGAAAAGAGACTATGACTACGATTCAAACACATGTAAAGAAGGAAAGATGTGTGGCCATTATACGCAAGTGGTTTGGGCAAATTCAAAAAGAATTGGATGTGGTAGGACTCAATGCGATAACGGTTGGGCCTACGTGGTTGTTTGCAATTATGACCCTCCAGGGAATTATGCTGGCGAGAAGCCTTACTGATTGTAATTCTTTATTCATTTTCCTATGCATGTACTTTCTTTTTTATAACCCATGTAATTTTGTCACGAAAGCAACTCTTTATATATGACTACATATGGGTTGTCTAATAAGGTTCCTAGGACTCGATTGGATGGAAAGAAAGCGTTCAGGTACGTAATTAATAAATCGTGCCATTCACATATGCAAATACCATTGTATTTTAATTTGTTTTAAACTTGTACTTAACAATCGTATGTCATAATACGCAAATGCTTGTGATACTACATTAACTCATGACCAAACATGCAGAAAAAAGTATGTCCGTTATTTTGTCAACTATCAATAAAACAATTGCATCGAATTATTTTACACAAAAAGAATTGTATTTCAGATTAGTCTTCAACTTTATAATAGAATCAGTTAGAAGAGTTAGTTAAGTTAGTTATATATGATGTCACTCTCCAGTTAGTTAGCTCAGTTATATATTTTTGCTTCCATGTAATTCTTAGTATGATGATGATTTTCTTCATTCACTCTTGATTTCTCTCTCAAACTTTGAAACACAACAGGTGAGATTATAGTGTTCTATGGAAGGAGGGATATGGAAATGGAGGGTTTAATTTATGACGAAGACGATCTGATGTTGAAGATATAAAGAGAACCAACGATGATGGTGAGGTCGTGGTGCGGTGGTTGGTTGGCGACAACATAGAAGTGGTGGTGGTGAGGTTGTCGTCACCATGGTGGTGTGGTGGATGGTGGCGTGTGTTAGGGTTACAGAGAAAAAGGAGATGTTGAAACTGAATCTTGATTATTTTGGTAGTCATGAGTTTGATTCAGTGCAAATATCGAGTTTAGTGGGTAGGTGTCCACTGATTTTGATTATGAGTGTTAAGAGCGTAATCACTGATTTTGATTAAAAGTAGTTAGAGCTAATTGAAACCAAGCTGCACGTGAAGTGAGTTGAGGGGAGGAAGAAGAGACTTGGATAAACATAAGTGAACCTGTTTATAGTCAAACTCCACATGGCAACATACACATCAGTATAATCTTTAACCTTTTCATGATCAAAGTCCACATTAACACCAAGTTACGAGATGAGCCTTTCAAATTTTACAAAATGGTTTACTTGACATAGATTGTTTGACTTTAGTGAGTGATTGAGTTCGAATATACAAAAAATAGTTTAGGGATCAATTAAAGCCAATAGAAAGAATTTGTAGGGTTTTTAAAAAAATAACTCATATATATCAGCCTATAAATACTACAATATTTCACCTATAAAATATCTTATGCTTTTACGTAGAAGTGTTTATTACCGGATTAACTTATATAGTATCAAAACATGATACGTTGATTTGATATATTGTTTTTTTAAGGTTTGACAATTTTGCTCATAAGGTATAAAATAACCGAAATAGACATCTACCATTTGTCTTTTTTGTTATTTAAATTAAAGGTAAACTTGTAATTTAGTTTTCACTGTTAATCGGTGGTTTCTAATAAGTTATAAATAAATAAATAAATAAATAAATAATGTTTATTCCAGTACCACATTGGAATAAACAGAAATTTATTTTTGCAATCCAAACAACCCGAAATAATAAACACTTTAAACAAGCAATCCCAACCACCCCCTAATTCATGTCATTGGGATTAGTAGTACTAGATTTGATTGATTTGTAAGCTATTTTTTGTAATAAGAATGAGAAGTGCTTTAATGTCATTTGCATTGAAATGAATCATTGTGATAGATTTCAAACATTTTCCTAATGAGAATGAAACTTATGTCAATACGATAAGTGGGAATGGGACTCAATGTCTGTAGTAAAAATGCATAAATAAGTCGCAACTCAGAGGTGATCTTTGGCACCCCCTAAAAAAAATGGCAGAATTTCTCCATCATAAATCGCATCAGAATTTAACGGTTTAGACCATGACAAGATATAGCACGGAAGGAAAGTTACAAATGAATATCATCACCAGATCCTTGAGTCATCTTCTACATTTTCTTTTTCAATCCTTCTTCAATGGAGTTTGAGGTTCATGGGAATTCCATTGTACTAACATCCATACTATCGATGTGCCTGTTTGGAAGGGTATTATCAGAAGAAGGCAATCACTCCAATCACATACAATTCGTTCATTTCATCTAAAAAGATACAAAAGGAATAATAATATTATGAGATTAATACCTGCAAAGACACCAACAGTTGCAAGATTGCCAATGGCCATGGTGTGGTAGATCAAGTATTCTGTCAAAAAGTGACCCAGCGCATAGATGAAAGATAAAAATGTTGCAAGATAAAGCGGTTTGTTGTCGAGGTTTAATGCACAGAGGAAACACATAGTGCAAGTAAGAAGCGTCCAAACCCCAAATGTTCGCCCATGAATTTCAGACACTGCATAAGAAACAAAAGGTTCGTTCAAATTAGGAGTAAAACCTGATGATTGTGGAGTAAAGCTAAATGATTTCAGGTAAAGATGTCGAGAAGTCAACAAATGTAGCTACAATTTCGCAACCGAGGGTTCCAGGATCTTGATTTGGTGATTTTTAGGTCAGTTTTAGATTCGATCAATGTGGTTGGGAATTGAAGTATGAAAAAGTTCGATTGACTTGAAATGCTTAAGATTCAACATGGACCCAAGACTCTGACGATTGCTAAAGCGTAATGATTTATAACAAATTGATGTAAATTAGTAAAAAGGAAAGGGGACTAACTGGTGGTTTGAGAGAAGACGGCGCGGCGGAGAGCCCAAATGTCGAAGAAACCAAACCATACGGAGGCCAAGCGAAGTGAACCTACCAACATCAACCACCATCCCAAGGCTTTCATCTTCTCCGAAGTTCTTTTGGGGTTTGGTGGTATCAGATCCACTTCGTTACAAGTAGTGTAAGTGGATCGGATCTGGTCTACCAACTCTGGTGACTCCTCCTTTCTTACTTAACCTTAAACACCACCTAAGCATTAGATAAATAAAAATCATTTTGAAAATGTATTTCTTAAAAACTTTTGACAATGTCATTTCTTCTTTATGTAAGAATTTAAATCACATAAATTTCACATGTTATTATATATGAAAAATATTTATTGTATATGAAAAATATGATATTTTCGACTTTTAATTAATAAAATTAATCAATTCTACTAATTAATAATATTATTATATATGAAAAATATTTATTGTATTAAATGTGTAAATCAACACTATAACTATTAAAATATTTATTATTTAACGTAAAGATATTATTTTCCATGAAATAAATATAAAAATAAATAGTTTGTATTTTTCTAATATTAAAAACATTTACTATGAACTTTTTTGTTTCGTTAATTAAAACAACGAAATGTTATAAAACAATATTGTCAAAATAAAATATAATAATTTTAATGGTGTGTTGTGGGATTTTTAATTTTTTGTATGTAATGCCCTTGTTAAACTTTGAGATGGATAAGCATGAATAACAATTTGTTACTATAATACTTTATTTTAATAAGTATTTTATCTATCTATAATATCTCGTATTATATGTTATATGAAAACTAAGTTGTATATATAATTTATATTTTATACATGTAATATAATTTAAAAAAAAAGGAAAAAAAAATATATGAATTTGAAGTTTATGTTTACGTTATTTAAAACATATTTTGATATGTTAACATTGTTTTTATATAGATACACGTTTAAATTTATAATATTTTTATTTTGCTAATTGAACTTTTAAACTTTTATATCTTGATAGTAAACTTTTATTTTTAATAAACTTGTGTAGTGCATGGGTCTCACACCAAATTTAGTAATATGTATTAAATTTTTGAAAAAAAAAATCCATTTTTTTGCATGTCTTATTGTGAAATTTTTCTTTAAATTAGAGAATTCTTTATTTTTATTAAGTAAATTGCAAAATTTGGTACTTATGGTTTACCAAAAAAATTACAGTTTCGGGCCAATTTTTTTTTCCACACAAGGATGGTCCAAAATTGAAACTTCGATGAAGAATTGGTACCTTGACTTAACTAGCCATCAAAAACATTTGTTAAGTCTCACATATCTTTCAGGTATTGTTCCTTTTTTATTATTTAATTTTTTTTAATTCTCACCCACATCCCTCTTTTATGATACTCTTTCTCTCTTTGTCACTGGCAGACCCATACACACTGCTCTCTCTCTCTCTCTCTCTCTCTCTCTCTCTCTCTCTCTCTCTCTCTCTCTCTCTCTCTCTTCTCTCTTCGCACTAAATCGAAGTAACTCAAAGAAGGTGCAGCATTCTCCCTACAGAAGGAATCCATTGGTTGAGATCGATACCAACGTTGCTAGATCCGATCAAACAAAAAAAGCCACAACCACAGCTATTGTTTCCACTGTGGCTACAACATCACCACCATCTGGGTTTTTTCCTTCCAGCTTGTCTCAACAAGACATGCTCCATTCTTTAAGTTGTATTAGACATCAATTATGCCAATAACTCCGGTGATCTTCAGTCCAAGCATAAAGACAAGCTTGTTGAGTCGGAGATGCTGGTTGATGATGATGTGAGGAGCTAAGTTTGCCAATAACTGAGGAGCTCCAACAAAATGGTAGAGAGAGTGTCGGAGAGAATGAGAGAGAGAGAAAGGGAGAGAGAGAGAGAGAGTCATAGAAAAGGGTTATGGGGATTTCCTTTGTTGTTGATATTATCAAGTGGAACATTTTGGGGGTTTCCTCTGTTGCTTCTTGAAACTACATCAAAATGGAAAACCAGAACAATCATTGCTATATAATGATGTACCAGGCTGGTAGTGCGAGGAAACCCACTACCGACCCAGTACTCAACAGGTTGACTTTAGAAGCATTCCTACTTGTTTCGAAAAAATATATATATGAATATATTGTACGTAAGCATCAGAATCGTATCCTAGAAAATATACCAAATAGTACAGAGAAAATAAAATAAACAAGGAAGGGATATGAAGTGCGACCGCTTGCAGATCGGGTAATGAGTGGATGACCGATTTAAGAAGTGGACTTTACTAACTACGGACAACCTATAAATATCCTTGGGAGACATGCTAACCAGGTAAGTAAGGAAAACACATATTCCTTGACACAAAAGCAACACCAAAGGGTCGTAATCTAACTTAGGCGTCAAAGAGCTATACTGGGGTCCAACTCTCGTATGGTTGTCTGACCTAGTTCTTGTTATTCTTGTGCAGAGTGAATTCCTAAATGCCTTATAGGATGAAACCCTCTAAGGTGAAAAAGCTCATCATCCGCCTGGAGTTTTTCGTATCAACATTAGCGTGATCCGTATTATAAGTATTCCTATGTGAAAAACAAAGGAAATACTCGATAGGCAGATAGTCAGGTAACACAAATGAGCTACCCATTGCGGTTAATGGATACCGACAAACTACATAATATGTTTGATAAAGAAGCATATCATATTTCCCCACCTCCATGAAGATGGACCGGTAGTTATATATGGGAAAATATGTTACGTAAGCATTCATAAAAGTTATTTTGTTCACTGATGATATATTTTCACAACTACAGGAACAAATAAGGAAAAGGATACAACAACCAGCATGACATTTAACAAGCTTCACAGTACCCTTTTTTTTTTTGGAAAAAAGGGATATTGTTTGTTCCATTAACTTTAACGAATCAGGAAACACAAGCCAAAATACACAGACGATAGCCTTCACAATCGTACAATTAGCATCACCGTACAACATTATATTTGGAAGAAGAGCAATGAGAAAGTTCGGTGCGATCGTGTCACCAATCCACTATATCGTTTGATTTCAAATGAAAAGTGGATTTGGAATGAGCTATAGTACATCACCAATGCGCCCGCAGTATTTATGGATTTGATGAATCGGGTGTGCAGGATGATTCTCGATCAATCAGTTATTGTGTTCATTGATGATATCTTGGTGTATTCAAGACCAGAGAGCAACATGAGGAGCACCTTCGAGAGCTTTTGGGAGTGTTGAGGCGAGAACGGTTGTATGCCAAGTTCTCGAAGTGTGAGTTTTGGTTATGAGAGGTCCAGTTCATGGGACATCTTGTTAACTAAAACGAGATTTTGGTCGATCCAGCCAAGAGCGAGGTTGTGATGCTTAGGGAGGTTCCGAAATGTCCCCCAAGATCAGGAGATTACTGGGTTTGGCATGATATTATCGGAGATTTATGCAGGATTTCTCCAAGATTATTGCACCCCTTACTCGTCTGACGAGGAAGGAAGTGGATTTCCGATGGGAGCCTGAGCAGCAGACGACTTTTGAGACACTACAACAGAGGTTATACGAGGCCCCAATATTGACCCTTTCGGAGGGTGTTACCGCATGCATACGATGTCACATGGCATTAACCACATCCTATGATGTTGTCACCACACCTACATGTCTAAGATGAAAGATGCTTGCTTTAAAAATTCACATAATTTATAAAGACGGTCTAAATTTATTAATTAAATTAGTAAAATTCACACTCTATGAATAATTAGAGATATAATATATTTTTGAACATAAAATAATAAATAATAATAAAACAAAAAATAAGTGAATAAATTGTTATTTTCTTTAAAAATACCTTAATAATTAACGGTTGGCCAAATATATTTCATTGGAAATAAAATAATAAAGAGAAATTAAGTAATCTGACAACATTTTAATATGTATTTGAAGAAAATAACTACAAAAATTATTTTTAACAAAAATAACCATTTATTTTGGAATAGTTATTCGGACCAAGAAAAACATATTTTCTAGCAAAAAAGTATATTTTGGAAGGAAATATATATATGATATTAATATATAAAATTAATAATTGTATTGAAAAACGTTGATATTACATATTTAGAAATGTAATATTCAGAATCTAAAAATGGTAGAAAGGTTCATTTGAAAAAAAAAAGAAAAGAACTTAAAAATATGAAGAGTACTCTTGAATAACAAAGTTATAGAGGAAATGATTATTTTTCAAAAACTAAAAATAAAAATATTTTCATCTCAAAAATCCATCTCTATCTATCTATTCTAATAAATGAAGGTTTTTTTTTATCACATGTCATATACTCATTCAATTTGTCAAATATCATTTTGTGGTTATTTTAAATTAGTTTTTTTTTCCACATGTTATTTTATGAGTTTTTTATTTTAATAAATTCTACATAATATTTTAATATAATAATTACAATAAATGTAGTAATAAATTAATATCAATTTCATTAATGGACTTACCTTCTTATTTCAAAATTCCCAAATTAAAACTTATTAGTTTATTTTGTTTATTTATTTAAATTTAAAAGATAAAAAAATCAGTTTTAATAATTCATTATTTTTCTTATTTTCTTAAACATCCAAAGTTCTTAAATATTTAAATTTTTATATTTTTTGTTTTTAATTAACCAATATAATATATGGGTCTTACACATAATCTATCATAATAAATAAGAATAATTTTACCACATGTCATATTCTCCTTTATTTTGACACTTGTTATTTTTTAGATTTTTTTTAATTATTTAATATCCACTTGTCATTTTTATAGTTTTTTTTTTCTTTTTTATTCAACTAGGCGAATACTCGCGCGTTGTGCAGAAACAACCATAAAGTTGTAATCTTTCAAAATATATGTTTTTCTTTTTTAAAATATAAAAACAGCATTATGATTAAATTTGATATAATAATTTATATATTAAATTGATATAATATATTGACTATTTTGAATTATATGATAATATATACATCTATTGTAATTTCATAACCTCAATCATTTGAATGACTTCCATCCGCAAGTTAAACGTGAATAAAACTCAATATAATATACGGTTGAATGTTATTTGCAGTTGTTGTTATTGTTAATTAATTTTCTAAAATTTTTTTGTTTAATATTTTAATTTCTGTCATTATAGTTATTTAAAACATCAAACGTTATTTTTTTTATTATTTTAAAAGTAACAATATAATCAT